TGGTGCTGGTCGCAGTAGTGGTGCTGGTCGCCGTGGTGGTGCTGGTCGCCGTGGTTGTGCTGGTCGTGGCGGTCCTCCTGGTCGTGGTGGTGCTGGTCGCCGTGGTGGTGCGGGTCGTAGTGGTGCTGGTCGCCGTAGTGGTGCTGGTCGCCGTGGTGGTGCTGGTCGTGGTGGTCCTCCTGGTCGTGGTGGTGCTGGTCGTAGTGGTGCTGGTCGTGGTGATGCTGGTCGCCGTGGTGGTGCTGGTCGTAGTGGTGCTGGTCGCCGTGGTGGTGCTGGTCGCCGTGGTGGTGCTGGTCGCCGTGGTGGTCCTCCTGGTCGTGGTGGTGCTGGTCGCGGTGGTGCTGGTCGCCGTGGTGGTGCCGGTCGCCGTGGTGGTGCTGGCCGTGGGCGTGGTGGTGCTGGTCGTGGTGGTAGTGGTGGTGGTCCTCTGGCCGTGGTCGTGCTGGTCGTGGTGGTGGTGGTGCTGGTCGTGCTGGCCGTGGTCGTGCTGGCCGTGGTCGTGCGCGTGGTCGGGTGGTGGTGTGGTGGTGCTGGTCGGGAGCTGGTCGTGGTGGCTCTCCTGGTGTCGTGGTGGTGCTGTGGTGGTGCTGGTCGCGTGGTGGTGCGTAGTCGTGGTGCTGGTCGCCGTGGTGGTGCTGGTCGTGGCAGTGCTGGTCGCCGTGGTGGTGCTGGTCGTGGTAGCCCTCTGGTCGTGGTGGTGCTGGTCGCAGTGGTGCTGGTCGCCGTGGTGTTGCTGGTCGCCGTGGTGGTGCTGGTCGCCGTGGTGGTCCTCCTGGTCGTGGTGGTGCTGGTCGCGGTGGTGCTGGTCGCCGTGATGGTGCCGGTCGCCGTGGTGGTGCTGGCCGTGGGCGTGGTGGTGCTGGTCGTGGTGGTGGTGGTCATAGTGGTCCTCTGGCCGTGGTCGTGCTGGTCGTGGTGGTGGTGGTGCTTGTCGTGCTGGCCGTGGTCGTGGTGGTCGTGGTCGCCGTGGTGCTGGTCGTGGTGGTGGTCGTAGTGCTCCTCCTGGCCGTGGTCGCGCTTGTCGTGGTGCTGGTCGCCGTGTTGGTGCTGGTCGTGGTGGTCCTCCTGGTCGTGGTGGTGCTGCTCGTGGTGGTGCTGGTCGCCGTGGTGGTGCGTAGTCGCGGTGCTGGTCGTGGTGGTGGTGCTGGTCGCCGTGGTGGTGCTGGTCGCCGTGGTGGTGCTGGTCGTGGTGGTCCTCCTGGTCGTGGTGGTGCTGGCCGTGGTGGTGCTGGTCGCAGTGAGTGGTGCCCGTCGCCGTGGTGGTGCTGGTCGTGGTCGTGGTGGCCGTGGTCGTGTCGCTGGTCGTGGTGCTGGTCGTGGTGGTTCTCCTGGTCGTGGTGGTGCTGGTGGTGGTGCTCGTCGCTGTGGTGGTGCGTAGTCGTGGTGCTGGTCGCCGTGGTGGTGCTGGTCGCCGTAGTGGTGCTGGTCGTGGTGGTCCTCCTGGTCGCGGTGGTGCTGGTCGTGGTGGTGCTGGCCGTGGTGGTGCTGGTCGCTGTGGTGGTGCCGGTCGCCGTGGTGGTGCTGGTCGCCGTGGTGGTGCTGGTCGTGGTGGGTCGTGGTGGTGCTGGTCGTGGTGGTGCTGGTCGCTGTGGTGGTGCCGGTCGCCGTGGTGGTGCTGGTCGTGGTGGTGCTGGTCGCCGTGGTGGTGCTGGTCGCCGTGGTGGCGCTGGTCGCCGTGGTGGCGCTGGTCGCCGTGGTGGTGCTGGTCGTGGTAGTCCTCCTGGTCGTGGTGGTGCTGGTCGAGGTGGTGCTGGCCGCCGTGGTGGTGCCGGTCGCTGTGGTGGTGTCAGCCGTGGTCGTGGTGGTGCTGGTCTTCGTGGTGGTGGTCGCCGTGGTGGTCCTCTGGCGCCGTGGTCGTGCTGGTCGTGCTGGTGGTGGTGCTGGTCGTGCTGGCAGCAGTCGTGCTGGCCGTGGTCGTGGTGGTGGTCGTGGCGGTCCTCCTGGCCGTAGTCGCGCTGGTCGGGCTGGTCGCCGTGGTGCTGGTCGCCGTGGTGGTGCTGGCCGTGGTGGTGCTGGTCGTGGTGGTCCTTCTCCTCCTCCTCCTCCTCCTCCTGGTCGTCGTGGTCGTCGTCGTGCTGGTGGAGGTGCTGTTCGTAGTTGTGTTGGTGGTGGTGGCGGTGGTTGTGGTGCTGTTCTCAATCGCTCTGCTGTCGGCGTTCCTGCGAGCTGCTGTGCCCCGCCCTGCCCGCGCGCGCCCCCACGCGGGGGCCGGTGCTCTCAGGGGAGCGCCGACAGAACGTCCCCTCGCCAGGGATCCCCCCCGTCTGTCGCTAGCGTTTCAGAGGGAACGTCCTCGAGCGGGCTCGCGGCCAGAGCGTCGTGGATGGCGTTCGCCTCTTGCATCGCGTCGAAGCTCGACCTCCACAACACGGCGGCTGCTATGGGCATCGCCGTCCTGCATACGGTCGCCCGCCGTCGGGGTGGAGGTACATCGGGAGCGTTCGTCGGCGCGGAGCCCCCCTTCGCGACCATCCTGGGGGATACGGCCCAGCCGGGCCTCGAGATCACCTTCGCCACGCAGCCCCGGACCAAGCTCTCGGTCCAGCTCCTCAACGCGGTCCAGGGCAAGATTGTCGCCAAGGGGACCCGCGCCGCCCTGGAGCGCAACATCGAGGAGCTCCTCACCTTCTTCGGCCCTTGCACGGAGCTCAGCTCGGCCGCCCCACCCGCCCCCAGGCCGGGCGAGGGGCGCGTCGCACCACGCCAGCCGGCCCGGCAGCTCCTGGCCTCTTCGGCCTCGGCGCCCTCGCACTCGGCGCCAGCCGGCTGAGCGGGTGCCCGCGGGGCCCTGGCGACCCCCGCGAGGGTGCAACCCTCCCGCACTCGCCCGCGCGTCTCGCCTGAGCGGGCGCGTGCCTCCCTTATGCCCTGCCCCGCCCTCGCCCGCCTCGTCCTGCTCTGCCGCCGCCCACTGCGGCCGACACCCTATGCGGTGCGGCGGTCCGGCCCCGGGCCCCTATGAACGCCATGATTGCTGCAAGCGGTGTCGCCAGAAAGGGATTGCATGCGGGGGATGGGCATGAGCAGAATGATTGCATGCATGTCTGCACGTGACCTCGCCCTGCGCTTGTCGTCCTGCCCCTGCCCCGAGATCCTCAGCATCCTCCCCTCCTCCTCCCTCCTCCTCCCTCCTCCTCCTCCTCCCTCCTCCTCCTCCACCTCCTCCTCCTCCCTCCTCCTCCTCCTCCACCTCCCTCCTCCATCCTCGCTCCTCCTCCTCCTCCTCTCCTCCTCCCCTCCACCCTCCTCCTCCCCTCCTCCTCCTCCTCCTCCCTCCTCCCTCCTTCCTCCTTCCTCCTCCTCCTCCACCCTAAAAAAACTCCCTCTTGACGCCGGCCGTCTGCCGGGCAGCCTTAGGCTGTCCTGGGAGGGGGCGGGCGTCTCCCTCCTCCTTTTTCTTCCTCCGCCTCCCTGCTTTCCTGTCCAGGCGGGGGGAGTTCTGCCCACCCTCTAAGGTGCAGGGAGCATCGCCGACCTCCAGGGCCGGAGGTTGGGGATAATGCCGTCCTCCGGGCCCGGCTGGGTGCGGAGGTTGGTGGTTTCGCCGACCTCCGCGGCCGACCGCGGCCGGAGGCTGGTATTTTTGCCAACCTCCGGGGCCGTCTGGGGCCAGTGGGTGCGTCTTGCGCGAACCTCCGGGGTCGTCCGTGTGCATTGGGGGGATCCCTGCCTTCTCGGTCTCGTAGGTGTGGAGAGGTATGCTGCCCCCCCCGGAGGGTGGGGGGCTCGCCGACCTCCGCCGCCGGAGGCTGACGAAGTTGCCGTCCTCCGGGGCCGCCTGGGGCCGGAGGTTAGGAATTTCGCCAACCTCCGCCGCCGGAGGTTGCCAAAGTTGCCGTCCTCCGGAGCCGTCTGGGGACGGAGGTTAGGAATTTCGCCAACCTCCGGGGCCGGCCTGTGGCAGTGCATGGGGTTGCTGCCAGCAGCCGGACGCCTCCGTCGTCGTCTTCGCCGTCGTCTTCGCCGTCGTCGTCGTCGTCGTCGTCGTCGTCGTCGTCGTCGTCGGCGGCGGCGGCGGCGGCGGCGGGCGGCGACGGGCGGGGGCGTTGGCGGCGGCGGCGGCGTCGTTTGGGATGAACGCGCGCCTCCGGGAGCATTGCCAAGCGCGACTGCACCATCATGCTCTAATTGCTCCCCTGCACTGTCAGCTGCGTGGCGAATCGGACAGACCCACGGTCGTATGCAGCGCGCGTGAGAATCCCTCGAGCGCGTCACCACCTTTCCTCACTGTGGTAATGCAGCCCTAGCTGCTCCCAGCGTCGATTGGGGATCCCGGTCGCATGGGCCCCGGGGGTAGCCTCGTTTGCGCATGTGGCATGTGCCCTGCCCTGGGGCCTCCGAAGATGACCGTGCTTCCCCGTTGCGGGGCGGTGCCGCCTGTCCGGGCCGCGTTGCTGTGTCGCGCCCCTGCCGTCTCGGGTGACCGCGTCGTCGGTGTCGTTTGTGCCGCAGCCCCCGCTGCTCCCGTGGACGTGGGGGGGCCAGGAGGCTTCGCCCCCGCGCATCCCCTCTCTTGCACGTGTAGAGCAGGGCCCGCTGTCCGCCACTGCGTCCCGCGGCAAGGTGTGCGGAGAGAGGGCTTAGGGACCAATTGTGATAGCAATGACTTGCCCCGATGACTGGCTACTTGCTCAGCTGCTCCCATGTGGCGCCATGCCCGCTGTCCGCCACGGCGCCGCGCGGCATAGCGTGCGGGGAGAGGGTGTCGACGACGATGATGACGACCTTGTTTGCCACGACTTGCCACGACTGGCCCCGATGACGATGATTTTGCTTGCCACCGTTCGCTATGACGACGATGCCCTCGGGCCGCCTCCACGAGGGGAGTGAAAGACCTCTACCAAACGGGAGGCGGCCCGCGCAGGCGCTCCTGGCGCTCCCCAGCCCCCCCCCCCGCGGAGAGGTAGGTCGCTTGCGCTGCGGGGGCTGAGGGCCCGGGCGCGCGCCCAGCGCGCGCGGCCGGCCCGACGCTGTCGCTGCGTATGAAATGAAATGACAAAAATGTGCAGCAGCGCGGTCGCAAGCGATCCTCGCAGCGCCGCCGGCGCGCTCCTCGCCCGGGCGCGGGCCAGGGTAACGAAGAGCTCGTACGCCTCCTCGTCCCAGCGGCCGCCCGTCTCTGCTCGGGCTACGAGCAGGTCGCCCCGCCGCGAGCCCACCAGCTCAGGGTAAGTCGTTTGCTTGCGGCGCCTCGCCCGTTTCAGCGCGAGTCCTGGGCGGAGCCTCCGCGCAATCGGCCTGCCCGTGGCCCTCAGCGGGGACACGATGCAGGCGTCGATGGCGAGCTGCCTGCCGTGGTAGGCAGGGAGGCCGTTGGCCACCACCTCGATGCGGCGCCCGTCGTTGGCGGCAATGCCCGGGAGGTTCATGTCGCGCAGGAGCACGTCGGTGCGGACACGGCCTCCTGCCTCCCGGCACAACCAGGCCCACATCCGCTCGATGGGATCGCCGCGCTTCAGCAGGCGTCCGCTGCGGGGGCAAGCTGCTCTGTGGTCGCCTCTCTCGCCCAAGTGGGCCTGGCAGGAGCGCCCGTTGCACCTGCTTGCCGTGGCGTCCAGCGGTAAGCGGAGCCGTCTCTGGAGCAGTGCCCGGAGGCGCTCTGGCGTGAACGTGCTTTCTGGCGTCGAGGGGATCAGGGCCAGGTGCCGTCCGCCGCAGCGGCCTCCCTGCGAGTCGAGCATCCACTGCTGGTCGTCCGTGAGGCTCGGGAGAACGACCTCCTCCCTGTAGCGCCGCTCTCGGGCTGCCGAGGCGTGGTACTGCCATCCGTGCTTCCACTCGCCCGGCTCTGGCTCTGTCTGTTCAGGGCGCGCGCCGTCCCAGACCTCCTGCCAAGTTGGGCACGTCGCAAAGCCGTCGCGGGCGGCGGGAGCCCTCGCGCGCTCAGCTTCCTGGAGGCACGAGGCTGCGGCGCCTGTCCCGGCGCGGAGGGCGGCGGTGAGCTCCGTTGCTGCTGTAGGGTTTCTTTGTCGCAACATGGGGAGCGCGTCCGCCCAAGACGGCCAATACGCGCACTCGGCCGTGCGCGCGGCTGACCTGAGTCCAAGGCCTCCGAGGCCGAGCGGCAGCGAGCTCACTCGGGAGAGCCTCTCTGCTTCAGCTGGCGCGGGGTCGAAGTCGAGGAGGTCGTGTAGCGCCTCCTACAGCCCGCGGTCGTGGGCCGCGGCGTAAGACCGCGACAGCGTCGGAGGCAGCGCGCGCAGGACGTGGTTGCACCTTGGCACCGCGCAGTACAGCAGGAGCGCCCAAGCGCACTGAAGGTCTGGCAGGTTGGGGAGTTCTTGTAGGAAGCTGCGCTCCTCGTCCGTCCTCTGCTGCGTCAGCCGGGCCGCGAACGCCGCGGTGCCCAGGGGCGTGCCAAGTACCATGAGCCGCGGTGCTCCTCAGGCGTGCCGGCGCCGCCAACCCACACGTCTGTGCCCAACGACAAATGCCCTGCTGGTTCGAAGCCACCCCGGTTCCACATGCGGCACTTGCCGAGGTTCGCCTCGATCCCTGCCCACTCGCGCATGGCGGCGGTAACCACGCGGAAAGCCTCTGTGGCGCGCTCTGGTCTGCAGACAATGTAGACGTCGTCCAAGTAGGCGAGCAGCGTCTCGCCCGGCTGAAGCTGCGCGCGGGCTTTCTCCAGGGCGCCATGCTGAGCCAGGGAGTACAGCGCCGGCATGAGCGGGTCGCCTTGCTCTCCGATTTCTCCCTGCCTCACCTCGTGCGCGACTCCTGCATCGTCTGTCCAGAGGTACGTCGACGGCTGGCCGTAGGAGAGCAGGACGAATGGGACCATGGCGGGGGCCTCCGGCAACGAGAAGAGCTTCTCGATCATGCGGTCGCGGCGCACGTGGTCGAAGGCCCCAATGCCGTCGATGCTGACGATGGTCGCCGCGGGGTCGGAGTCCGTGGCCGCTCGGAGGAAGTAGGCGGCGCTGTCTGTGCCCGCTCTCGTCGAAAGCGCGTACTGGAACGGCGCGCAGGCGTCGTCCATCTCGGACCCACACTGCCGGAAGAGGGCCGTGCCCACGAGCCGGCGGAAGGCGTCGCCTGCAACAATGCCTCGCGCGCGGCCGTTGTCCTCCAGCAGCGCCGTCATGCGGCC